CACACACACACACACACACACACACACACACACACACACACACACACACACAGAGTCTCTGTTACTGCTAGGAACTGAGTCTGAGTCCCATGACAAACAGTTCTCTTGTCTCTGAGCCATCTCTCTAGTCCCTCCCTCTGGCTTTCTTTAGACCCCAATATTTAAAGAACTTGTAAAACATTTATAGCTACCCAGATTTTCACAAACTTGTCATATTTAAATTTCATGCTAAAAAATGTTTACATGCAAACAGTATAGAAATGGAACTAAACTGAAAGACACCCACTAGAGAAGAGCAGACCGTCAATTCTGTTAGCAGCAAGCCAAGGTATGATGTGTGGCTGGTCATCTACAAATATAAGCGTATCTCTAGAAATAAGCAAGTATGGGGACAGCACAATGATTCAGCAAGTAAAGGCACTTGCAACCAGCCTGACAACCTAAGTTTGAACCTACATGGTAGGAGAGAACCAAGTCCATCAAGTTATCCTCTGACCAGCACACACGTGCCAACTCCCCATCCTACACACATACACACAAATGATAAAACTGATAATGATATATGGAAGTAGGAATCGAATGTGACAAACCAGCACGAGATAATCAGCGATATATTCTGTTTTCAAGCAGGCCATGTTCTGGGCAGCAGCCTCTGAGATGAAAACTCTGTAGTCATCAGGTTTCAGTTTATTGAAGTCACAAAAGAGATGTGTAGCATCCTTAAATAAAGGTTCTGGATGACCAGGTAACACCTAATGAAAACCAGGAAGTATTAATCCCCTCATGCTCCAAAGCAGACTGCCCCTCCCCTCAAAAGGCAGAGGGAATGGAGACATCATAGAAACACTGCTGGACAAGTCTGTGCAAACCTGCCCCTAGAATAGTAGTAAATTAATTCAGGACAAACCTTTGCTCCTCCTGCCTGAAGAAGGCGCTTGAATCCAGCTTCTCGGGGTCGATCAACACGTAAAATAACTTTCCAGCCACTAAATGCTCCCTATTAAAAAAAAAAAAAAGTACATGTAATTTTAACATACTCAACATTGAAAATGCAGAGGTAATTCATGAATTTAATTGCTTAGTGTCAATAAGTAATTTCCTGTCAGCCAGGCGGTGGTGGCGCCTTTAATCCCAGCACTTGGGAGGCAGAGGCAGGCGGATTTCTGAGTTCGAGAGTTCGAGGCTAGCCTGGTCTACAGAGTGAGTTCCAGGACAGCCAGGGCTACACAGAGAAAGCCTGTCTCAAAAAAAAAAAAAAAAAAAACCCCAAAAAAAAGAAAAAAAGTAATTTCTTGTCTTCTTTTTAATGTATATTTGGGTGTTTTGTTTGCATATATTTACATATACTGAGTATTACTTGCAAGCAGGGCCTACAGAGGTCAGAAGAGGGTATTGGATTTACAGATGTGGATGATAGGAAGGAAATCTGAGTTCTCTGGAAAAGTAGCAGGTGCCCTTACCTTGAGCCATCTCTTCAACCCATTAGTTAAAAAGAAGAAAAAAAAAAAAAAAAAGAAAGAAAAAGTTTCATATAGCTCAGACTAATTTCCCAATGCAGCTAAGGCTGGTTCTGACCTCTTGATTGTCTTGCCTCCCAAGTGCTAGGATTACAGGAGTACCCTACAGTTGACATAACGTCAGTAAGCAACCCTCTCCCACCCCCATCGTTTATTTGGGAAAACAAATGGGTAGGAAGCTTACGCAGAATGCCCACGGAAGCCTGAGGACAACCTGCACGAGTCAGTTCTCTGCTTCCACCTTTCAAACCTTTGGGATCAAACTCAGTTGGTCAGCGTAAGCAGCAAGTGGCTTTCTACTTGCTGAACCATCTGTCTTCAGGCACACCAGAAGAGGGCATCGGATCCCATTACAGATGGTTGTGAGTCACCATGTGGTGGATGGGAATTGAACTCAGGACCTCTGGAAGAACAGCCAGAGCTCTTAACCACTGAGCCATCTCTCCAGCCCCATAGGTATTATAAGCAAAATTTTGACATGGTAGATAGATGTTATACTAACACATTAACCAAAAGCACAAATAACAGGTCTGATAACTACAACAATGAACACAGTGATCAAGAGTTTTAGCCATCAAGAAAATGGAAATCGGGGCTGGTGAGATGGCTCAGTGGTTAAGAGCACTGATTGCTCTTCCAGAGGTCATGAGTTCAAATCCCAGCAACCACATGGTGGCTCACAACCATCTGTAATGATATCTGATACCCTCTTGTGGGGTGTCTGAAGACAACTACAGTGTACATATAATAAATAAATAATTTAAAAAAAAAAAAGAAAATGGAAATCAAAATTGAAGTGAGATTCCATTTTACTCTAGCCAAAATGGCTGTGATCAGAAAATAACAACAAATGCTGACAAAGATGAAGGAAAGAGGAACCCTTATTTACTGCTTAAGGGAAAGCTAATAATAATATAATACTGTCATATATTATAATAATAATATAATATAGTATTATATAATAATATAATATATAATTATAATAATAATATAGTCATATAATAAATATATAGGCACACATAATGGAATATTATTTAGCTATAAAGTATGGGATTGTGTCATCCACGAGGAAATGAAAGAACAGAGACCATCACTAAGTGAACAGCCAGATCATGACGGACAAGTAGTAAGTTTTCTCCTATATGTGGACTCAAAATTGTTAAAATTCAAGGTTAATAAATGAATCTAAGACATGAAAGCAGAAACAGGACTACGTGGGGCAGAGGAAGGGACCAGCAGGCCAGGGGGATGGCTGAGGAAGGACACAGAGGATGGGATGACATGGAAAGTCTAACAAAACAGGATCTTGTATGCTAGCTAAAAAATAAAATCTGTTTTTATCAGTAAAAGTAACAAGGATGTGTTGTGATTTGCCTTGATTTGTGTAGACTGAATTTAAAGTTCTAATAATCCCATATAAAAGACACACAATCCAGATATTTTATTTATAAGCCTAGATTGGGCAGATCAGAGCTTTACGAAATTATTCCCAGCTATAAGACCCCTTGTTACTTGCTGTCTCTCCTGGTGATGCGGTTCTGGTCTATTATCTCCTCCTTCATCTTCCTCATCTTTCTCTCTCCCTCTCCCTACAATAATCCCCCTCTCAAACCTCCAGTCCCACCCCCATCCCCTACCCCCACCCCCGGGGCCCAATCACAGGCTCTAGCTTTATACTGGGAAGAAGATTCACATGGCATCACCTGAGTGCATGAGGCTCTGCTCATCTGGGCAGCCATACCTTGGGAAACCTTAGTATTTATATTTAGCATCAGAATTGAAACAGCATCAGACCAACTCACTACAGATTTATAATTAAAGAAAACGTTAGTTTTTAATTAGCGATTAGGAAACAAAGAACACAATTTCCCTACTCAAAAGTATATAGACTCCTTAGGGAGAATGTGCAAACCCAGCTTAGGACTCCTGATGCTACACTCTGAAAAGACAGGCTGTCTTTAGAAGACCCTATCTTATTGTGTAACACAATACTTTCTGTTTGTTTTCTGAGACAGGGTTTCTACATAGCCCCAGATATCCAATTCAGACACTCTTCTGCCTCTGCCTCCCTAGAGCTGCTCCCTAACAACATCTGCACGGCTACAACAGAAATTTTAGTACTATGTAGAATGCAACTTAATATATCAATTATGGAATAAAAGACAATTAGAATTACTTAGTCAAGCATATTCTCTTTAAACAAGTCACAATACCAAATGCTATACAATAATACCTCAACAATGCCTGACTCTTGACTTTGCTGGATTCTTTTCCTCCATCTCATTGCTGCAAGTGCAAGCTTCTGCTGGTGCTCAGTGACGTCAGTGAGAGCATCAAGGATGGAGCTACTTCCCCACTCATAGTCTTCTTCCTAGAAAATCAGGCCAGTGAACTTCTGGGTTCCTCTAACACAGAGCACTGTGCTAATAATAAGCATGGGTATCTCGCCCCTAGAAGCTTTTAGTCTATTAAGATCAAAGCTAAATGTTCAATTGTTAGATAAAGAGAACACTAAACATTTTATAAACTCATAGGAAAAACAGATTCATTCTGTTCACTCAGTTTTATGTTAAGAACCAAGTACAGCTGACTTTTACTTAAAACCAGAAACTAATTTGCCAGAAACAACCCTTTTGGCCACACAGCTGTGTTTTGGCAACTTATTAATATTCAGGATATTTGGTTTCATGGGAGCTCAGCCAGAGGAGATGTGAACTAAGACAATTCCCAAGAAACTCAGAGTGGAAGCTTCAGAGACTACTGGGTGGGCACTACTGTCATTCGTAGTTTGTGACAATTAGTTAAATATGGAATGAGCTAATAGCAAAGAAAGGGACTTCTATTAAGAGAGTATCATTTCAATACTAAAGCACTGACAAATTAGGTAACAAAAAGTAGCAGGCCACATAACAACTCATTTATTGTATGCCAACCATAATATTTAACAAAGAGGATGTGATAAAGCAACCCGACCTTGCAGACTGTTCTGCCACAAAGCTCCTCACACAACAGCTAACTGGCCACATGTGGTCATCTAAATTATATACTGAGAAGGGTATGATCAAGGATCTCCTAAGACAGCAACAAGAGAACAAACCTTCAGGAGTATGAATACATACCTGCACAAAGCGTCCAGCCGTCCTGCAAGCATCCAGGTAGGAACGATGAAGCACCCATTTACCAGCTGCCATGGAAGCTAAGTACTTCTCGTTGCGCAGTGGGTACCCCACAACCATGTGTGTGCAGCTGGGGTCTGAGCACTGCTTCTCGATCACTGACCCACCTTGTTTGGAGAGAAATGGGCTCTACTAGTTCTTAACTTTCTTTCTCAACTGTGCATAAAAATTACTTATATAAAATGATCAACCTAAATAAAAAATTTATATACATAAACATGTAAAAGTAACATTCACTTCAATTTATCGCCCTTCATCCCTGCCTTTAGCATTCCATGACCTAGTGATTTGAAATGTAAATTGGGGTTTAAAAAAAAATCAAAATTCCAATGCTGACCCATGTATGAACTTGAAATCCAGGGCTTCATATATGCAAAAAACGTACTCCACACTGAGCCATATAACCCCTAGTCCCACTCCTGACTTAAAAAAGGAACAACTTTATTACTTATATATATATGGGTATTTTGCCTACACATATATCTATGTACCAGAGTCTGTGAGGCAGAACAGACTCAATGTGTAGGCTTAAATAACTTACCCATGTTCTTTTCTCAACTGCCCTCCCCTTTACACATGAGAGAAATATGATTGTATTTGTATTCCATATAAGTTGAAATAATGATGTCAAAAAGTAAAATATTGGAAGAAAATTTTTAAAAAGTAAAATATTGGTACCTAGGTCTTTAATCAGGCGACAGTAATTAATCCGCTCTTGAGAATTCAGAGATGACATCTGGAACACATACTGTTTTTTAAGTTTTCCGTGCTTTTCTTCTAGTGTTTCAATCTAGAACGCAATAGTTTTATTTTAGAAAAAAAATTAACATAATATTACCAGGTATAGCTATTTTATAGTGATATTTTATCTGAGGTATCAATTATACAAATTGAAATTCAAAAAAATTCAATTTTCAGTAGTGATGAGCCTGATGCAGCAAACAATTCCTATTCCAGCATAAGAACAATACCAAAGCCACCATCACCACACCAAAGGTCAACAAACCTTGTCCACAGGTTGTGGAGTCACAGATGGCTTGGGGGCTTGAGGCTCGGGGATCAGATGCTTTTCTGCTGCTGGAGTTTCTGGTTCTTCAGAGCCTAGATGCCCTAAGGGAGAAATACAGTATAGTAGTGTACACATGGAACTTAGAATAAATTCTGGGGGATACTCTCACCTGTCTTGGCCAAAATAAAATGAATCATGAACTCTGCAATCAAAAGTACACAAAAGCTCAGGCATGGTGGCATCTGCTTGTAACCCCAGCAACTTGGGAGGTTAAGACAAGAGAATCTCAGGTTTGAGACCTGCATGGGTACAACTCTGCCTCAAAAAAAAGCAAGACATAGAGAAGAGTGGCTGATTTCTCCAGCTTATAGATAAAGCCAACTAAATAGTTCTGAAAGGGCAGGTGTGTTACTTGGATTTTGTGAATCCCTCCTTTCAAAAACATCTTTTCACCAGTATAACATAACCAAGTTTTTAAAATGAAAGCAATTCTTGCAGAAAATCAGATCTGTATATCCAGCATAGGAAGATAACCTTACCCAGTGTGAAGGGAGAAAAAAAGGAACTCAGTTAAAGCTCACATAAGCCAAAGAACACCAGATACTACCTAACAAACAGAAGAGGCTAGAAGAAAAAAAAAGGTTAATCCTAAATGTTGCAGGATATTTGACCACACTGTGACTCCCGAGATTGTGCTATTTACTGAAAAAAAAAAAAAAAAAAAAAAAACTGTTTCTAGTTATGGTGTGGTTTAGTTTAAGCACACACCTTTAATCTCTCTGGCTGGAATACAGACATGCCCTTAGTACGTATCTTTAACTCCAAGCAATGAAGGTAAAGTTAGTTTGTAGAAGGAAGCACCCATGTTTGAAAGTGATGTCTAACTGAGTGGCAGACAAAGCGATGAATCAGAGAAAGGTTTGACAGAATGGGATCTGCTCAACTCACAAGGAGAAGAAAAGGAAGCTATAAGAAGCAGAGAGAAGAAAGGAGACAATTTTACCAGACATTATTATAGAAAGACTGGTTGCAGAGAGAACAGCTAACCACAGGTGAAAACAGAAGGAGCCAGAGAATGAGAAGCCAGAAGATTAGAACATACTGCCAAAGGTAGTTATGAGGCCAAGAAGAGCAATTCAGGAGAGGCCAAGAGAGAAGCCAGACTCAATCAGTGACTTTGGAGAGAAGTTTAAACCAGACCAGCTAAGTTGAGCCAGCCAGTCAGAGCTCAGAAAGAACTAGAAAGGGTGAGCTTATTCAGCAGCAAGTCTCAGAGGCTGAAAATATTCTGGGCCTAGGATTAGATTGTATGGAGGTTAGAAGCTTCCAAAATGACAATTTCTTCAGAAGAATAAAAGATTTAGATGTTTACATCTAAATTTCTGTATTTAACAATCAAAAAAGCATTTCTCATTTGATACAGTACTAAAAAATTTCATTTGCATTTGCATATGGAATACAGAGAACCATAGTGTCTTTAAGAGGTCAACATGCATAAAATACAAATAAATAGGTTTTTCTTATTACCCTGCTCAGCAATTTCTGAATGGTATACAGGCTTTCGAGAAGGAGAGTCATCCAGTTTTTTTATCTCAACCTGAAGCTCAGAATACTGTGTTGGGTAGCTAGGCCACTGTAAGTTGCTGGCGAGCCTTGCTCTCTCCTCCCTGGCTGTTGGGTCATCCCAAATGATCTGCTCATTTTGGGAGGGCTCTGTGTTGATATCAGGTACTATCTGTCGAGACTGCCTAAGGAATAAAAGAGACAATTTTAAGTAACAGCCACTACTGAATCCTAGTACATAAAATTGGTAAGTAGTAAAGACACATGGTATTTGTTGAATAAATCAATAGAAGACATCCTTTCTCCTCCTCCTCTGTTTTTTGATCTATGGTCTCCTTAAGGAGAGTATGGCTTTAAATGAGGTGATTCTCCTGCTTCTGCTCCCAAGTGCTAAGATTATAGGCAGGCATCCTAGTTTGGTCTCCACTGCTATGGTAAGACATCATGATTGAAAGCAGCTTGGAGAGGAAAAGATTTATTTCAGTTTAAAGTTGTAGCCCATCACTGAGAAAAGTCAGGGTAGGACCTCAAACAAGAACCTGGAGGCAGGAGCTGATGAAGACTGTAGAGGAGAGCTGCTCACTGACGTGCTTGCCATGGCTTGCTCAGTTTGCTTTCTTATACAACCCAGGAGTTCCCATGCACAGTGGGAGGGACCCTCCTCCATCACTTATTAGCCAAGATGTTCAACAGATTTACTTACATGCCAGACTGAGAGAGACATTTTCTCAAATGAAGTTTCCTCTTCTTAGACGACCCTAACTTGTGCCAAGTTTACAAAAACCTACACAGTATAGCATGCACCAATACATCCAGTTAATTATTTTTAAAACATTTCTTTCTACTGGAAAATTTAAGTGGATACCTATATATTTGTATTTAAAATATTATTATATACTTTTTAAGTCTAAAAATTAGGGAAACATGGTAATGTTTAGAAAACTGTAGTTATTGGGTTTAATAATTGCATTTTAAATTGTCTTTTAAAGATAGGTAGGCTCTGTGTACCCCAGGCTGGCCTCCACCTCTTCTGTAGTGAAGGATGGCCCTGAGCTCCTGGTCTTCCCCTCACTAGCTTCCATGTGCTAGGATTACAGGTATGCACCACCATACCTGTCTTAATAATTAAGTTATATTTTGTTGTTGTTTGAGACAGGGCCTCACTATGTAGGTCTGGCTGTCCTGGAATTCACAATGAAGACCAGATTGGTCTTGAACTCACGGAGATCCACTTGCCTCTACCTCCTGGATGCCACTATACCCAGCTTTAAATTGTATTTTTAACAGGACAATGCTGAAGCTACAACTAATGGGTCTTTCAACCTTTGTTGACCAAAATTTCCAGACTCTGGTAGACCATGAATGCATTAAAAACATTTTCAAGGATTTTATTTGTTTATGTGTACATGTGAGTGCCTAGGGAGGCCAGAGAGAGTTGTTAGATCCTCTCTACCTGTACTCACAGGCAGTTATGAGCCACCCCATGTGTGTGCTGGGAACCCAACTTGGGTCCTCTACAAGAGTAACAAGCATTCTTTAACTGCTACCTTTCTAGTCCCTTAAAAATATTTTTATTACATTTATTTACTTTGTGTGTGTGTATGTGTGTCTGCATATGTGACACAGTGAGCTTATGTGGAGGTCAGAGGACAACTTACAGGAGTTAGCTCTTTTTCTTCCACCTTGTGGGTTCCAGGGATGGAATTCAAGTTATCACACTTGGCTATAAGCACCTTTACCAACTAAACTATCTCACCGGGGTCCTTGATTATAGGCCTATGCCATCTCCTAAGTACATACACTGTTAATAAGTGATTCAGTAGGCAGTAGCAGGAGGGTCTCTGTAAATTGGAGGGTGGCTTGGTCTACATATTGAGTTCCAGGACAGCAAGGACTACATCCCAAAGCTGATGGAGACAGAGGCAGGCAGGTGATCTCTGAGCTCCAGACCAGCTGGAGCTACATATTAAGACCTTGTCTTAAAAACAAATAAATAAACAAACAAACTAATCAAGAGAGCCTTTTAGTCTCAAATGACTTGGCACAGAGTAAGGCTCTATAATCTAAAACATGACCTACACTGTTGGGGAAAAGCCACTTTTCTCAGAATTCAAAATTACCTCAAGGAAAACACAGAGCCAGATAAATGAAGTCAGCAAGTACTCAGAACTCTCACCGTACAATTAGAGATTTTTCTTCTAGTAGTAGGAAAATGCCATTGATGAACCCAGTAATCCAACACTTGGTAAACTGAGATAGAAAGACACCAAGTTTAAAGCCCACGCTGGCTACACAGCAACACAGAAAGATGGTGAGTGGTGGTACACACATGTAATTCCAACAGTCAGGAAGTTGAAGCAAGAGAATTGGGAGTTTAGGGCTAACACTTGTTAGACAGTATTACAGGCTAGCCAGGGATAAGACCTTGCCTCAAAAATATAAAGACAGAAAAATACAGTCATATCACTGAGCTTAAGTTGTATTGCACTAAGAACTGTGGTCACCTTTTCTAGAACATAAAGGAAAAAAAAAAAAAAACAAACCATACAATTCAAATAAGAAATTAAAAGGGAACTGGGCAGTGGTGGTGCACGCCTTTAATCCCAGCACTTGGGAGGCAGAGGCAGGCGGATTTCTGAGTTCGAGGCCAGCCTGGTCTACAGAGTGAGTTCCAGGACAGCCAGGACTATACAGAGAAACCCTGTCTTGAAAACAAAAAACAAAAAAAAACAAAAACAAAAAAAGAAATAAAAAGGGAGGAAAGGGTGGCTGGAGACCTATGTTCAAATGTTCAACCTCTAGAAGCCACTAGGGGTGGAAAGAGAGGACATCCACAGGTCATCCTTTGACCTTGACACGGGTGCTGTGGCATCACACATTCAAACACACGATAATAAAAATGTTTAAAATATAAGTACTATGTACACTCACTGTCTAGTATGAACTCTAAGGAAGATAAGACTGGCTGGTCACGGATTCTACTTCAAATGGAAAAGTGCATCCTAAAATCACAGACTTCAAAGTAAGAACTGCACAATGGCTTGAGCAAGAAGACTCAGCAGCAACACACAAAACCAAAGATGACAGTGGGATATAACACATACTGTCTAAGTTAAATAAAGTGACAACATAAACGCCTTCACTGGTCTTAATATTTTATAACTTTTGAATTATTTTTAAATTAAAATAGAAAAAATTGGCCGGGCGGTGGTGGCGCACGCCTTTAATCCCGGCACTTGGGAGGCAGAGACAGGCGGATTTCTGAGTTCGAGGCCAGCCTGGTCTACAGAGTGAGTTTCAGGACAGCCAGAACTATACAAAGAAACCTTGTCTCAAAAAACCAAAAAAAAAAAAAAAAAAAAAAGAGAGAGAGAGAGAAAAAATTAAAGTCCTGTGTGGTAGTCCAAACCTTTTACTCCTAGCACTTAGGAGGCAGAGGCAGATGAGCAAATGGATCTCTCTGCCTGGTATGCAGAGCAAATTCCAGGACAGCCAGGACTACACAGAGAAACCCTGTCTCAAAAAAACAAAACAAAACAAAGCAAAGCAAAACAAAACAAATCAAAAGAGCCTAACCCACCAGGGGCTTTTATCCAAATAATCCAACACACAAACCTGAGCGCCTCCAGGACTCGGCTTCGTCCACTCCTAGCAGAGCGAGCGCTGTCAGGAGTTGAAGAAGCACTGTTACAACTGCTTCTCGACATGCAAGTTTTCTGGGCTGGTGTCTTCACGATGCAGGTTGCTGACATGATCTCCTGCAGTTGCTTCTGGAAGTTCTCTCTCATCTCCAAGGCCTGGGTCAGAGCTTGAAACAGATAGAGTGGTCAATACCAATCAAGAGAAATATATCCTCCTCCTCTCTCCTTCTTCTCCCTCCCTCTTGCTAGTTTGTAGAATATAGGATCTGAGTGTGTGGTCAGGCTGACCTCCCCTTTTCGATCCCTGCCTCAGTCTCTATAGGTCTGGGATTACAGGCATGAATCACTATACAGAATTACAAACTTCTCTGGTCAATCGTATCTTACACTATTTTGTCTAGATCTAGTTGAACAAAAAACTGTTGCCATTTACTGAATACTTATATAGGAATACGAGGCACTAAGGCAGCCATGAAGACTGTGTCTGAAATAATGAAGACTCCCTTGGAGGAAGATCCGATCAGTCCCTCTGAGGAGCTCCCTGCTTGCTTCTGATCCTTTCTCATTGATGCACACTACAGAGATTCATATAGACATTTGAATGTGCCTGCTATTTTTCAATAGCTCTGTTTGTCTCTGCTTTGGGGCTGGTCTTGAACGTCTCTCCTGCCTCAGCAGGAGACTGAGATTATTGCTGTAAAGCACTAGCCAAACTTTCACTAACTCTTGAAAGCACAGACCACAACATCTTTGTCTTCCCTTTCCATTATAGACTAGACACTGAAGTAGATACCAAGTAGGAATTTTTGAAATGAACAGAATGGAACAGTTAAGTTAGAAAGCAAGTTCTAGCAGGCAGGCTAAACAGGAGAAGCCAGAGAGTAACCTGTCAGAAGAGAACACACACATCTAAATAAGGTAATCAGTGCAGCACTATCTGTAATAGCAAGAAATTAAAAATAACCTGTTAATGCCACTGAACAAGAAACAGCACAATAAAGCAGGGCACAAGCCACATACTACACCACCAAACAAAACCCAAGACTGAGGCAGCTCCCGTTTCCCAGGTGCTCTATGGCTTGAGTGCACACCCTCCTGTGTGTGGTGTGGTATAGGACGTAGACTCTTTAAGAGATGAGGCCTAGTCTAAGGTGGCTGGGTCATTAGGAGTACTACCCCAGAAGCAATTAATGCACTTTTCAAGGGGGGACTCAGGCTAGTTTTGTTGTAGGTTGCTATGACAACAGCAAGTCTGGTAGTCTAACTTGCTTGCAGTCTTTCCTGTGATGACACTCACCGACTTGCAGTCTTTCCCTTTCTGATAAATACTCCTGCCATGATAGGATGTAGCCAGAAAGTCTTCATCAGAGTCCCAACCAATCAAGCTTAGACTTTCATTTTCTAAGGCTGTGGCAACCATGTATTAACAACTGTCCAACGCCTCCAAATGATTCTGTGTGGTCACCTGTGACCAGTGACCACTGATGTTGCCACTGTGTGAACCATACCTACACAAATGGCACACGTCAAAGCTGTATGTGCTCTGACTGCTTGCTCCCCATCTCGTTCCTGCCTAGGATTCCTCAATCCCCAAGAAGCAACACTACTAAAATTAGCTCAATTAACATCCTACAGTGGCTTCCGACCCCTCTCTCTAGCTCTCAAGTAAAGCCAGCAGTGACTACAGAGAGTGAAGAAGGCATGCATGAAGCCAAGTGAGGTCAAAGGCCATGCCTCTTATGCTGAGCAGTCAAGCTGTGAATGCAAAGAGAAGATTCCTTTTAGAAATTCAAAGTGCTACTCCAGTGAGCACACAGCTTATCACCGCCATGAAGCTGCAGGTGACTACACTAAACAGCTGACTCAGACTGGAGGAAGATGCCTCTCTACGGCTATGTGGAGAGAAGTCAGTGGATGGCTTCAAAGCTAGAAGGCCAACCCAGTTCTTCTATTAGTGGCAAAACACAGATGGGACTGCAAGTCAAAACAAATGTCAAAAGTAAAAAGTGCACTTGGGCGTGGTGGTGCAGGCTGTTAATCCCAGCACTTGGAAGAAAGAGGAAAGTAGATCTCTGGGTTTGAGGACAGCCTGGTCTACAGAGTCAGTTCCAGAATCACTCAGAGAAACTCTGTCTTAGGAGGGTAAGGGGTAAAAAGTGACAAGTGTCTTACCTCCTTTACAGTCATCTCTGCCATTCCCATTCAACAGACCTGACTCTTTGTTATTCGTACTCATAGTGTTTGTCTCACTTCCTTCTACAGACGAATGATCTGGCTATTCAAAGAGAAAAATGACAACTTCTCAAACAAAGTTCACTGCATAAAGTTTCAAAGACATCTACATCCAGCTTAGTGGGGCTCACAGTGTCCACACCACTTACCCCATCATCCTTAGATGCAGAAACTGCCAAGGGCGCCCAGCTGTTACACAGCCGCCCAGCTTGCACTGTACTGATGTCCAAGCTCATTTTGGGATTGTAAGTGTGTGGGTAAAGAGACTCAGGAAGATGCTTATACTCTTGAGCACACTGAAATACAAACGTTCATTTTAGAAAGAAGTTTACAGTGAAAAACTCTAGCATATAAATAACCAATTGGGACCTGGGAAATGACTTAGCCAGTAAATGTCCTTGCCCTATTAATTTGGTGACACGAGTTCAATCACTGAAACCATATTAAAAGTGTAACAGGAGTAAAATGACCTCTATGCACGCCTATGGACACAGTAAACAAATCAATGGGTAACAAATTGCCTTCACTTTTAAAATGTACTGTCTATTAAAGATAAACTCTAATCCTGTCTCTGCATTTAGCAAGGCATCACCCACTCCAGAAAACACCAAGAAAAGCATGGCTAAAGTGCATGGCTAAATCAACTCTCCCCCCAAAATTATATAATTTTTTATATAATTTAAATTACATTTCTATCTATTTATATTAGGGTAGCAGGTACGGATAATACATCCCTGGTATGTGGAAGTCAGGGGACACCTTGTGGGAGTCGGTTATCTCCTTCCAGGAACCAAATTCAAGTAATGGGGCTTGGTGGTTAAGAGCCTTTACCTTCCACGCCTTTTATTTCAGCTACTATTCATGTAATAGTCAATTAGGGAAAGGAATCGGAATAAAAGTATTCATTTAAAATTGGTAAATATTCAAGCAATAAAAATTTTAAGTTCTGGGGCTAGAGAGATGGATCAATGGTTAAAAGCACTGGCTGCTCTTCCAGAGGTCCTGAGTTCAATTCCCCAGCCAGCACATGGTGGCTCACAACCATCTATAATGCGATCCAATGCCCTCTTCTGGGCAAAAGAGTATACAAGCAGATAGAGCACTCTCATGCATAAAAATGAATGAATGAATGAATGAATCTCAAACAAACAAACAAAAACACCTTAAGTTCTGATGCTAAAACAATACAATGCCCAGAGCATGACCTACATATAGCTCAGACTTGGGAGTCCCAAAGGCCCTTATGTTATAAGCACTATCCACATGGTGTCAAGCAGACCCCCCTCAGTGTGCCCTGGAAAGCAGTAGAACGGAACCCTTTCTACCACCTCTCTCATGTCCCAGCCATGAGCGGGCAGTTATTGGCATGACAAATCATCACATAGTTAGCCATCATTGGCAAATTTATTTGCATTCAATGAAACTGGCTTGTGGTCTAAATATTTGTACATTTTCAACCAACAGGGAGGGAGGGAAAGCACTGCTTACCTCTAACAGCCAGTGCTCAGACACGATGTGCACCCCTCTTTCTTTGGCAGACTTATATTCTCGATTACTATCATTTGCTCGACCCTGATAAATGAAATGAGTAACTGTCTCATCAAAACTCCACCTGAAACAACCAAATATGCAAGAGGAATAACTAAGGGAAATAGCAGTCTACTCTGAACAGAATATTCTGATACACAAAACTCAAAAAGAACTAGAGGATGGGCAAGACTAGTAAAATGGCAGGGTTTGTGTCCTGCCAAATGTTAGTGACTCCACTTCCAGGTACAGTGGAAAATGTCAGAAGAACACTTTTAAAAGATTACTACCTTCTTTATATTTTAAAAAAATCCTTCCACTTTTGTCTTATAATATATATCACTTTTTTTTTTTTTCCCGAGACAGGGTTTTTCTGTATAGCCCGGGCTGTCTTGGAACTCATTCTGTAGACCAGGCTGGCCTCAAACTCAGAAATTCGCCTGCCTCTGCCTCCCAAGTGCTGGGATTAAAGGTGTGCGCCACCACCGCCCAGCTATATATCACTTTTTAATTATAATAAAAAGTATTTTCAAGTTAATAACCTTAAGGCATTCAAATCCACTGTCTGGTCACTGGCCACTACCCTGTTTATTTATTCTAGTCAGTTCCTATCACAAACTGTATCTGTGTTGAGAACTGAGCTCAGGCCTGTGTATGCTTGGCAAGAATTCTAACACAGCCTGAGACTTTGTCTCTTAAGAAAACACTGAAGACAGGATCTCATTAGGTAGTCCTGGCTATCCTGGAACTATGTAGACTCTCAGAGATCCACCTCCTCTACCTCAAGCACTGGAATTAATGGAGTGCCCCATCATGCCCTTATAAGATATATTTTTTAAAAAATGTAAAGCAAACTAAAATGTCTTTAATGGCCATTTTAATCGAGGGAGGCTTGCTACAGTGGTCAACACTACCCACAGGAAATCACTAAGATAGATAATAAATACAGCCAGTCCCAGATGTCCGGACTATCAACTCCATGAAGGGAACTCCCTTAAACTATGCTGACCACTCATGGATCACAAGCTTCTAGCACAGCAGCACTAACCAGCTTCCCAAGGGTGTGCTGGCTGTGTAAAATACAGGAATGAACTGTTCCATGGAGTATTCTTAAAGGCTTTAATAAACTAAATCGGAGAGGTTTTATTTGATAAAGTATACAAGCAGGCAAAACCAAATCTTCCTTATAGACGGACACAAGGCTGTGGGTTCCCTGAGCTGTGGCCGGTGCTGCCCGACAGAAAGGTGTACCTACCTGTACTCTGCTCCCAGTGAGGCTGCGATCCCATTTAGCTCACTCTGCTTCTTACTGAGTTTTTTACTCACACACACCACAACTTTGTCAAGTGGTTTTGGAGCCTCTTCCTGTACACGGAGAATAAAGAAACAGATCAGCCACAGTCCTTTGACATGCATTAGGGACACCTTCCATTTAATAAGAAAACCATGTCTACCTCCTCCAAATGGGCACTCTTCAGCTGAGGGCTGGCAGAATGACTGCCAGTGTTTCGGGAACTATTTGCCAAAGCAACTGTCAGGTTTCTGTTGATGACTTCAGAGAGTGGTGAGCTCAGTTTCCGCTTCTGGCTGGCAGCATTTGGGGTTCCCAAGGCTGCAAGTGCATCCTGTGTTTAAGAACAGGAAAAAAGGAGAAACACGGAGAGGAAGAGGGGGACATAAAAAGGAAAGAGAGAGTAGGGAGGAAAGGGAAAAAAGAGATTACATCTTTGACCTCTTTTTCTCTGAAATAACTATAATTTTTATTTTTATACTATAAAGAAAAAATTCCGTATTTTTCACCAAGCATTAAATAAAGGAGTTTGAGAGATGGCTCAGCAGTTAAGAGCCCTGGCTGCTTTTCTAGAGGACTCAGGGAATCAATCCCCAGCTCCCACATGGTGGTTCAGAACTATGTGTAACACTAGTTCCAGGGGATCTGACACCTCTGGTTTTCATGTTTACCAGGTATGCACATGATGCAGACACACATGTAGGGAAAACAACCATGTACATAAAAAATAGATTTCAAAACAGATAAATAAAACCATTAAGCTTGGGCTGGTGAGATGGCTCAGTGGTTAAGAGCACTGACTGCTCCTCCAGAGGTCATGAGTTCAAATCCCAGCAACCACATGGTGGCTCACAACCATCTATAATGGGATCTGATGCCCTCTTGTGGGTGTCTGAAGACAGCTACAGAATACTTACATATAATAAATAAATAAAAATTAAAATAAAATAAAATAAAATAAAACCATTAAGCGTACTTACCTTTTCAGGAGTGTATATCACACTTACTTAAGAACTGAAATTTCAACTACATAAAAGACCCCAAACTAAAGTGAACACAGAAGGAAAGAAGTAAGAAAGGATGGGTGTAAGAAATTAATTTTAACAGGCAGAGTTAGAATGAGCCAAGAGCCAACAAAATCTTCAAAGGTATAAAATATAGGCTCAAAGGAGGGGAGGCTGAGAACTGGACATGGAGAGCTCCACGCAGGCTCCTTCCCAACCAGTCAACGGAGCTCAGCGCTAACCACGACTGCGCTGGAGGCTGAAAGTGGGTAAGTATCTGACACCTTTATAGACAGGTAGGTCTATAAAGCACCAAGGAAAGTTCTAATAGCACTTCATAATAGGTGGTGATAGTTCTACAACAGACAGATGTCTCCCATCTGGGATCTCTGCAGAATACAATGGAAGAAGCCATGCTTTTATCCAGCCTCATAATGATACCAAGAAATACAAAATACAAAGAGACAAGTGTTCAAAAAAAAGTTCTTGAGAACAGATTCTCCTACTGTTGATGCGGATAACAAAAATGACACACCTCAAGAAGGAAAGATCACAACTGATGTGAATGAATATGTTCAGGAATGCAAGTGCATAAACTTTGTCATACCCAGAACAAGTAAAATATGCCAGGAGGAGAAGTGGACAGTCAACGGAAAGGATGTGCTACCTGTCATATCAACTCTAGGCTTTGACAGTTCCATACACCTCTAACACTATCTTCTAAGATTCAGAGAGGCTAGAAAGGAGAGACAGAAATGAGTGGAAAAGTTTCAATTACAGTTGGGACTTAGCGAAGAGTAGGGATTTACTAGCTAGTTACCACAATGGCAAATGATCAACACACATTTATGGTTTGTGCTGGGATACAGCTCAGCTGGAAGAGTACTATATCACATGTACAAAGCCCTAAACACATTCTCCACCATCATACACAACATAGTGACCAACACCTGGCTCTATGTACCAAGACAGTTAGCATTTTGTCTAAACTCCACCCCCACAATTACGTGGCAACATCCAGGTAGGCCTGGCACACTATAAAAGGGGCTGCTTGCCCCCTCCTGTCTCTCTTGCAATCTCTTGATCTCCTTCTCTCTTGCCTTCTTGCTCCCCCTCTGTCCCTTCACCCCTTCCCTTCGCTGTCTCTCCACATGGTCATGGCTGGCCTCTATACCTCTCCCCCCTTCCTTCCCTCCCTCCCTCCCTCCCCCCCCCCATCTCTACTATCCTCTTAACACCCCTCCCCATGGCCAGAATAAACTCTATTCTTACTATAATGTCCTGTGGCTGGTCCCTCCGGAGTAAGGGATGCCCCAGCATGGGCCCGTTGAGACATCCATCCGCTTCCCCCATACTCACCACCCACCCATAAAACATATCCCACATCTCTTTATCTTTTTATAAACACATCAAAGCCAATCAGGGCTATCTATCTATACAGTAAAACTGTTTAAAAATCTTTTTAAACAATGAGAAAGAAAGAAAGAAAGAAAGAAAGAAAGAAAGAAAGAAAGAAAGAAAGAAAGAAAGA